AATCAACCCTCCTGGCTACTCTGGGAGCAAAGCAGGAGGATCCGTGTGACCGAGGAGCCCAAGACTAGCCTGGGCGGCACATTGAGATCTCATCATGATAGATAAATAGATGATAGACAGAGAGATGAAAGATAGATATAGATAGATAGATGGATAGATGAGTTATAAGGAACAAAATAGGTAGGTAGATTGATAGAGAAATAGATGATAGATAAATAGAGAAAGATGTGATAGATATGATGATTGATTGTAGATAGATTAGCTACATAATAGACAGATAGATAGAGGATAGATTAGATGATAGGTAGATAGATGAGAGATAGATAGACAGATAGATGATAGATAGATAGAAATCAAGCTTTGGACCTGTGAACTCAGACAGTGGAGTTTTTCTTCTACTAAAGGAGCTAGCATATATTTTAGAACCTATATGCAGAGCACAGACGTCCCCTTTCCTCTGCAGTACGTGTAGGTTTGGTAACTGTTCTCATTTTGACACACTAACTCGAAGCGTTGGGTGAAATATGGTGCATCCATAGCAGAGCAACCAGAAAAACAATACAAATGAAGACCATGAAGCCTTCAGAACAGAGGTTAAGGGGCCTTTTCTGGAAAGACAATTCTAAGCGTGTATTTCATAGTGCATTCTAATAGTAAAACAGATCTAAAAGACCTGTAAGGTTTTTCATTAGCCAAACTGAACAGGATTGCTGAGGTGTTCATTTAGGTAACTAAGCTACCAAAACAGAAGGAGGTGAGTTCAAGGAGTTGGCCAGGGAAGGGACACAATTTCAATAGGGGGCAGGGGGAAGCCTGGGGACTCAGCAGTCTTCCACTGTTTGATTCAGGTGATGCCTTAGTGCATATTCACCTGAATTCATCAGCTTCACGTTTTGATTAAAGAAACCATGCAGAATTGAATTACTGTTTTCTGTTTTCAGAATAAAGAACACAAGACAGTGCCTGGATATTCAAAGGAGGAATCTTAGATCAAAATATAAGTGAGTAAGGGGCATTCATGAGGGAGGAGATGCTGCTTCATGTGCAAACATGGATGAAAAGGCAGCATTTGTGTGACAGTGCAGGGCAGAAGTCTGGATTCATAGCCTCTGAGGCACATTTTAACTTTAGAATTTATCGCTTTAAATGCCCAACACCAACCCAACTTAGCTATACTTTAAAACATATTTTTGTTCAAATTATTTTGAAAAATATATTAAAAGAATAGTTCTATGCATTGATGTTATAGCATGTGATGTCCACTGTTTAACTCAGGGTCCACATATCTATTTTTGTGAAACTGTACCGTTCTTCATGGTGAAAACTTCGTACTCTGTGCTAGCTTTCTACCATGGGCAGTTCGTCCCTCTTGTCTGTTGTCACACTTCTGTGCAGCAGCAGGGAAAGCTCTCACTCCTCGCCCACTGCAGATGAGTCCCTACCCGTGGGCCTTTCACCCTCCTTCCTTCCCCCAACACTCCAGCCTCCGGGAACCACACTGCACTCTCGCCTTCTCTGACATCAACTCTGTAAACATTCCGCATAAATGGAAACACGCAGGCTTTGGCTTTCTGTGCTTGTTTGTTTCACTGAGCAAAATAATCTCCGATGCCAATCATGTTGTCACAAATGACAAAGCTTCGTTTTGTATCTGGATATTAGTCCAGTTTGTGTAAGAACCGCATTTCTTCATCCATTTTCTCACAGCTGGGCACTTAGGTTGTTTCCTTTCCTTAGCTCATGTGAATGTGAATAGTGAGCAGAAAGGTGGGAGGGCTCTTCTGCACGCTACCTTCATTTCCACGGATTCCTGCCCAGGAGTGGGAATTCTGGATCACAAGTGCTTGTTTAATGGCTCAAGGAGCCTCCACACTCTTCCCGTAAATGCTGTACTAATTTACATTCCCACGCACAGTGCACCAAGCTTTTTTTCCAATATCGACACCAACACTCATTTTTTGTCACGGCCTCTCTAACTGGGCTGCAGTGGGTTTTCATCGTGTTCTCAGTTTCCATTAGCCTGACGATTAGTGATGCTGAGAATTTTTAATGTAAGTTTTGCCATGTTTATGTCCACTTTTGATAAAAGTCCATTAAGGTCTATTGACCATTTTTACCTCGAGTTGTTTAGTTGTTTGCTTTTGACTCTATACAGTTCATTAAATATCATTTATATGAAACCTTGAGCAGATGTATAGCTTGTAAATACATTCTCCCATTCTGCAAGTTCTCTGCTCTGTGCTAATGGAAGCCATCTCTGCGGGACAGAAGCTGCTGAGTTTAATGTGATAGCATTTGTCCATTTTGCTTATGTGCTTGTGCCTTTGACTTCTTGTCGAAAAACCCCTTCCCCATCCCATTGCCCAGATGCACTTATCCTATGTTTTCTACTAGTATTTTCATACTTGCAGGTCTTATATTTATGCCTTTAACTTAATTCATTCATTCATTCATTTAATTTAATTCATTTTAGTTGAATTTTTTGCACTAGTGGGATGTAGGAGTCTAGTTTAATTTTTCTGCAAGAAAATATCAAATTTTTCCAGCAGCATTTTTCACAGAGACTGTCCGTTCTGTAAGGTTTGCTCTTAGCACTTTTGTCAGATCTGTTGGTTGAAGAATAACCTCCCAAAATTGAGCATTCAAAACAGCCCAGTATATTTGTGGTTCGCTTGGGGGAACCCAAGTAATTTTGTGCCCCAGAGAGTTACCACATCAGTGATGTATCTGCTCATTTTTGTGTACATAAGTATGTTTGTGCCTTTTAAGAAAGTTGCAAAAAATATTACTGCAATCCATCTATCTGTACACCATAAGAGTAAAATTACCACTATGCTTTGGAACAAACAATAGATAGAATCATAACGATTCAGAGGTAAGTGGTACCATTTTAGAATTAACGCTAAACCCAGCAGTGCTCTGAAATTCTCTCGGGTAGTAACCTTGACATCCTCCCACTGAGGAGGGAACGATGTCACATTCATTTCACATGTGAGGAACATGACACAGAGAGGTTGAATACTTGCCCAAGGTCACACAGCTGTCGAAAGGTGGAGTCGGGACTCACTCCAGCACTTTTGAGAGCAGAATCTGTGCACATAAGTACAATGCATGGCTTAGCTGACATCCTACCACATAAAATCTGAGTTCTCATTATTTAAATTAACCAAACCGTTTTTTAACCACTGAGGATACAAGTTAGGGGATATTCTGTGTTAGGCAGCAGCTAAATAACTGAGCTACATCCCCAAACTTTTTATTTGTTTTTTAGAAACGGGTCTAAGTAAAGTACCCAGGCCTGGCATAAACTTGCAGTCCTCCCATATTAGCCTCCTAAGTAGCTGGGATTAAAGATGTGCACTATCAACCTGGGTAAATTTACATTTAAAACATTTTTTATGAACATACTTTCATTTATTAAATTTTTCTTTTTAAATAAATTTTACGGGTACAGTTTAGATGTACATAATGATCACATTCCTCACAGGGAATTTGTGCTTATACGTAGTGTGTCTTGAGGCTTCTTTTCTTTCCGATCCTCTTCCTTCCATTCAGCCCCTTCTCCCCTATTTACAAAAGCATGGTTTCCAGCTTTTCCCTTCTGTTCTCTTTCTATTCTTTTCCTTTCCTTCCTTTTCCCTCCCCTTTCCATTTTCCCCCTCCCATTTGAACTTTTTCTTCCTATTTCCCATGAAAATTGGAAGGGTAAATAGGGACTAAATGTACATTGTTTGCACTGAAAAACACAGTATGCTGCTTGTGATCATCACATCGTGTTCTAACAAGAATGCTAATAACGTGGTCTATTTGAGATCATTTATCCACACTTCAATTTCTGTGTAACTTCAATAATCAGATGTTATTCATTAACCACAGAGAGACAAAAGGCACAGTACAGATGCTGGGTCTGCAAGTTATGGTGAGGAATTATGTGCAGAAAAAGACACAAAAACTAATAAAAATTTTAAAACATATCAATTTAATGATTTGATATCACAAGCAGAAATGGTAAGATTAGTGAAATGGTTATGTCTTGTCTGTATCCCTAGCATCAAAATGAGGTGTTGTCTTACCAGACAGGGCTAGAAACCAAGGAGAAGATCTGCTCGTGTACTGACAAACGCATGGGGAGAGACAGCTCACTGATAGTCAAGTCACAGTTTGTTGCTGAATTAACTGCCTGGCTGAATTTGCAAAGCAGTTCCCTGAATAGAAGATAAAAGATTGTTGGTACATGTATGTAATGCCCAAATATTTTGGGACAGGTTCCACTTTTTTACTCTGCAACAAGCAGACGATGCTATTTAAGTGGTACAATTTTAGTCATTAAGGTTGTTCAAAAAATATGACCTTGGCAGTGGGAGGAAAACGCTAATACTGTGAAAGATTTTTCTTTCCTGGCAAGCAAAAACAGCCCCACAAACACGAAGGATTGCTGGGTGCTCGCAAACTGATACGAGAACTAAAATCCCTGAAATGTAGAGAAGGAAAATGTGGAGGGGAGAAGGATTGTGGTTCACAGTGAACAGCGGTGTTTCTCCTATGAAAAGAAATCACACTTTTTTAACTCAAAATGAACTCTGTTTGTAAGAGAAAGATGTACTACAACCTTATGTTTATGTCTTAATTCAACAAATGTCACTTTCTCAAAATGTATTCCTTGTGAAAAATGATATGACTGATTTGTGAATTCATTACTTAAAGCGAATACACAGAACCCTGGGTGGCTTAGAGAATTAACCCAGAATTATACCACAGTATGTTTGTGTTTATCCTATGTCACTACAATCATTGGGGACACGATGAAACATGCCTTAATTAAAAGTAAATTTTCCAAAAGAAAAAAGATACATGTTAATACATAATATGTGAAATATTATATCTTTATATTGAGATTGGCTACCCATGAAAATGTTAAATATTTAAATTTTTTGATCTAATTCAGGCTGGTATTAATTTTGGTTACTGTGCTTTAGGTTCCCAGCATTCCACAAGTATCAATGGAAACAAGCAACAGAAGTTTGCAAACAGATTTCATCCTACTGGGGTTTTCTGATCGACCTCAATTGGAGCCCATCATCTCTGTGTTTGTCTTCATCTGCTACTTGGTGACTCTGATAGGAAACTCAACCATCATAATTGTATCCTACCTGGACCCCCAACTCCACACCCCCATGTACTTCTTCTTATCTAACCTGTCATTATTGGAGCTGGGTTATACAAACGCCATCATCCCCCAGATGCTGGCAAATCTATGGGGTCCAAACAAGTCCATTACATATGCAGGCTGTGTTCTTCAGTTCTTCTTTGCCCTGGTCTTTGCAGCCACAGAAACTCTTCTCTTGACGGTGATGGCCTACGACCGCTATGCTGCCGTCTGTCAGCCTCTGTACTACACAGTCCTAATGCACCCTCAGCTCTGCCAGAAGATGGTGCTGACCTGCTGGGTGGGTGGCCTTGGCAGTGCCGTAACTGTTTGCTCCTGGATTTTCATGTTGCCAAGATGTGGGCACCGTGTAGTGGACAACTTTATCTGTGAGACACCAGCATTAATGAAATTAGCTTGTGGTCACACAAGAGTAATTCAGATTGTTATCTTAGTTTTTGGAGTTATATTTCTTCTATCGCCTGTATCACTAATTTTCATTTCATACGCAGTCATCACTCAAGCTGTAATGAGGATGCAGTCAGCAGCCAGGTGGAGAAAGGTCCTCAATACCTGTGGATCTCACCTCACAGTAGTAGCTCTGTTTTTTGTGCCAGCTATTTACATGTACATGACACCACAGAGTACCAAATCCGAGGAGGAAGGAAAGTTCTTTACACTCTTTTATACAATCGTCACACCCAGCCTGAACCCACTGATCTACACTTTAAGAAACAAAGATGTGAAGACTGCAGTGAAGAGAATACTGGTGATAGAGGCATGGTCAGCAAAGTTGTGAGTTAGGTGGAAAACATATCAGTGTGTAGAACATGTAAGAAATATTGACCTTTGCATAGAAACACTTAATCAGTTGATTTCTTTAATGGCCATGAAGGGGATGCTCACCATTTTCCAAAACATTTTCTACATAAAATGTTACTTCAATATTAAATTTGAAAGCTCAATAAGGAGACACAAACAAAACAACACTGTACATGCTGTTAAACAAACAATGTTAAGAATACACTATTATGAAATAGTCCATGTACATCTTGCTAAAGAGACAATGCAAGCACAGAAATATTATGAAAACTGCCACATGCAAAAATAGAGCAATGTAAAAAGTACTTCAGAAAGAAGACATCTATTCTCCTTTAGAATTACATTGGACAATCACTTTTTCTTCCCTATCATAACTATGTTATGACAAATACACTCGCTTCATTCACGAGATCTCAAGCGATCAGCCTGTGGAGGGGACTACATAAGAATACACAGTCCATGCTGTTCTGTGGCCAAGCTGGACATGTGGCCATCATGATGATATTACCTTTTCTACAGACCATTCCAGGGAGACCTTCTGTTGTGTGAAATAGTAGCTCACAAGCTGGGCATTGTGTACCTCAGTTACAGTAGCTTCATTATCACTCTTGTGTGGCCTTATGTGGTCCCTGTGCCAGAAGCATTTCATCACCTGGGAGCTTACTGAATGTAGTGGATTGATAACTGGTGGTCAGCTTGTAACCCTCAGCTGAACTGAGTCAGCATGGTGCTGGGCGTGAGAGGTCCACCTGGGGACTGTTGCCAGCAGCATAAGAGGCAGAATGGGAGAAGGAGAAGGAGGACTGTTGGGAGCAGAGAAAGGCTGTTGGAGCTGGTAGAAGCTATAAGGAGCTGTTAGTTCTGTTGAAGGAGCTCATCATGCTGGCTTTCCTGATGAACTTGGCCATTTTCATCCTGCGAGGAGCTCGGGACCTCGTTGGCACTGAGAATGGCTTTGGTTCACTTTGAGGGAGCTCTGGTCCTCACTCTGAGCATCGCCTCCAGGCTCTGGAGGGAAAGAAGATGCACAGCTCAGACTTCTGAAGAAGCTTGCTGCATTGGCTTCCTGTCTTGGTTACTTTTCTCTCGTTGCTGGGACAAAATACCTGATGCCCAAAATTAAGGAAGGAAAGGTTTATTTTACTTACAGTTTGTGGAGGTTTTAGTCCATACTTGGCAGGTTACAAGGCAGACTGGCACATGGCAGAGGGCTACAGCTCATGGCGGCAGAACACAGCAAAGCAACAAGCACAAAAAGGGAGGAATGGCCTCAAGCAGCCTCTTCCCCTCCCTTACATATGCAAAATTCCACCCCTGGGCGTGTGTAGCTCTCACACCATAATCAATCAAACTCTAAAAGCCCACCCCATGACCACATGACTCTTTGGGGGGACACACAGACACAAACCATAACACTTCCCTGATGGGAACTCAGCCATCTTGATCATCAGAGGAGCTTGGGACCTCACTGTTGCTGAGGATGGCTGTGGTACCTTTCAGGGGAGCTCTAGTTCTTTGAGTATTACTTCCTGGCTCCAGTGGAGATCCCTCAGCCTGCTAGCACAGATCCTGCATCCCACCTGCACAGACATCCTAGATTCCACCACTGACCTTTGGACTTTCGCAGCTTGAACCAGGCCTACATGAGGTATTATTATGGGCCCTGGAGCTCCACCTGGATTCGTGGGAGGCATTGTTATGAGCTCTAGGTCTTCAGCTGGACTCATACAGGACTTTATTGTGGGATCTAGGCCCTCAGCTAGTTTCCTTGGTCTTGGTGCGTGTTCAGATTTCCTGCATTCTTTTGCATATCGTTCTGTGGGTGACTATTATAAATAATCTTTTTTTTTTTTTTTTTTGGTTTTTCTCTGGTACCGGGAACCGAACTCACGACCTTGCGCTTGCCAGGCAGGCGCTTTTGCCGCTGAGCTAAATCCCCAGCCCCTATTATAAATAATCTTATAAAATATGTGTCCTGTATTATATTGTTTTGCCTTGCACAATAACCCCCAAACCATAACACTAAACATGTGCATTCATATCCCTGCCCAGAGCTACTGATCCTGAAGTCTAGGCGTGGAACCAGAAATTTGCCTGTTCTTCACAATCACTTCAGGTGATTCTGAAAAGGTTACAGCTGGAGAACCACTGTTGTAGGTATAGACATTGAGTGTTGCCCAAAAGGAAAGGAGTGTGGTATTATAAATCTGTCCTAATTTCCTTCCTTCTAGATATAGAAAACAAGATAGAAATTGGTTTTTTAAGACTTTCATATACATTTCAGCAATGTCATTATTTTATATTGGAAGTATCAAAGAAAGGCTTTTTTATCATCAGTTTACAGAAGTTATGGATATTAAAGCTTCACTTTAGGTGGAATGAAGTAAATATAAATTGAAATTTTTAATAACATACCCTTCATGCATTTTCTTTTTAAATAATGGTTATTAGTGCATATCTACTAAACAATTTAATAGGTTTTATTGTGGCATTTTCATATTTGCTATTGTGGTTCAAATCTAAAATAAACCCTCACATCACACATGTTTGGCAGGTGAGTGGATCATGGGGGTAATATGTTTATCAGTGGAATCATCAACTGAGGAGATCAGAATCTGAACGAGCTCTTAGAAGGTGGATCACTCTCACTGAGACTTGAAAAGTGTCATTCTTCAAGCATCTCCCACTCTTTGCTCTACTTGCTGGCTGCCATGAGGTAAACAGCTGTGTTCCAAAATGATGTTCCATTCTGCCACTTCTGCCCTACAGTTGGTAGTACCCACATAAACCCTTACAAATTGTGAGCCAAATAAGTGTGAGTGTTGGGAGTTTCCTCCCAGCTATTGGAATGTGGTTACAAATGACGTGATAGAGATAGTGCACTGTGGTATTTTGAAAGTGATTCATTGATGGAGACCACTACAAAGCAGCCCTGAGCAGGACTTAAAATAACCAGTGGGCTTTTCATGTTTACTTGTGAATATGTCCAAAGCCTAGGGCACCAGTCTGGAAATGGGGAGTGGACCCCTAGTAAGTGGTCCTCTGTGAGTCACTGAATCGTACTGAGGCCTGTACTGGTGGATGAAGCCAGAAAGCCTCAAAGAATAAGAAAAGATCACAGCCAATGATACCCGAATCCAGTAGATAAAGACTGTAGCCTCAGGCACCTCACTCCAGGGTGGATTAATTTAATAGTTTATTTAGAGATGTCCTTGAGTGGCTCCACACTTCTTGAGAACTACCCTTGCTCTTCTGTTAACTAAATAAATACCAGCCACCCAGAAAAAGTCTCAGTCTTAGCCCTGAGAGAATCTTGAATTCTATGAGAGGGCTTTGATCGTCCTGGAGCCCTGAGGTCATTCCATGTGCCTCTTCTATTCAGCCTTCACCATACATTCCTTTGGGAGATGGAGGACCTGATCAGTATGCAATAACTAAGGGATATTGTTAACCCAACAATTCATGATCATAACTGATAAAAAAACTTGGATGATTGTTTTGTCCATCCCCCATTTTTTTGTTTGTTTTACTATACATCAACCATCTGAGGACACCTGTGCTGCAGAATAAGCTCCTCCACTTACCTGTAACTCAGGCTTTGCAGAGACTGGAAATCCTCTCCACATGGGGAAGGTGCTGTCACGTGAACAGCCTTGCTGTGGCATTTCCAAGGCAGACTTGGCCTCCTCCACACTCAGCGATTGTCAAAACAGAATGGAGTGGTTAGAGATTATGTGCTCTCTCCAATCCTTAGACCTATGGCTCTCAACTCTCCACAATGGGAACATTGCCCCTGTATCTAAAGTCTTCATTCTCCTCTGCAGTTAACTTACAAATCAGCATGTTGTAAACCTTGGTGAAGATGAAGAAAACAAGCCCAGACAATACATATGAGGACAGGAAAGCCTGGAGACTATGTAAATTTTTTTTTGTTAAATTAAGGACAAAACATACAGTGATAAAGACGTATCCACAGAAAATGAGCCCCAAACATTCTGGTGATTAAAATAAATTGCAAACTTTTATAGATACTTATCTCTTAGAAACCTCCTACACAGTCTCCTTTACCAAACAGAAGTCCCTCCAAAATCTTACTACATCAGTTGTGAAATTACCTCACTTTATTTTTCTTTTTTCTTTTTTCTTTTTTTCTTTTTTTTGGTTTTTCTCCGGTACTGGGAACTGAACTCACGACCTTGCACTTGCCAGGCAGGTGCTTTGCAGCTGAGCTAAATCCCCAGCCCCTCACTTTATTTTTCTAGGTCTGTGTTTGAGCGAAATTATTGGGAGGTATTAAAAACAGAACATTTTATCCATTTCTGATTTTTCTGTGTTTAACTGTTTCCTTACAAGAATTACAAACTCAATAAATATCTGTACAAAAATGAAATGAATAAATACTTGTTTACTAAATTTTCATGAAAATGTGACCTATTTTGGAGAATATACAAAAGGTCTATGGGAATGAGTATTGAAGCAATATCTTCAGTTTGTGTTAATATTTGAAGCACAAGAAATGAAGAAATACAGGCAAAAGGAAAGAAAATGTACACTATCTCTCACATGTACAACATAAAATTTTCACAATACCTTTTTTTTAATTTTAAAAATAAACGGAGGAAAACACTAACAGGCAGACAACATTTTACAAAACAGCAAAAGAACAGTACAGACAGTACAGAGTCAAAAACAAAGTGGTAGGGAATTAACAACGTTCATTGTATTGCATATTGATATCTTCAAAGTGGTTTCTCTTGAAAATGGCTATAGACATAAAAAGCTGATCAACCAAGGACTCATTGACAGTTTCTTTCAGCAAAGAAATACAAGACAGCAGAACACCTGTGTTAACTATCCTGCATATACATACATACAAAATTTCTCCTTGATTCCCTTCTTTTCTCCCACATTCCAGTTGCCCTTTACTTTTGAGTGCTTTCCTATCAATTCACAATGTCTATCATACCTCTGAGTTTA